TCTACCATCCTACTTGAAGCTTACTAAATATGAGTTGCAAAACTGCAGTGGTTTGGTCACCAGAGATCATTTATTGGCAGCATCTATCATGTCTCATTTTGCCCCGCATACAAGGGCAAAATGAGACAGATTTTTTTTTTTAGTAATTTAAATAAATAAAGTTAAACAAAACAGATCTTTAAGAGGATTAGCAAGAAATACATTTTATAATATATTACAGCAATAATCAAACTGTCACTAGTCACATAAATCACAAATTGCTTGACCAGTATTTTAAAACGAAAAAGAGTCCGAATGAGCCCAGGTTGTGCATTTTGAACATTAACTTCGCTCCTATATATATATATATATATATATATATATATATATATATATATATATATATATATATATATATATATATATATATATATATATATATATATATATATATATACATACATATATATATATATATATATATATATATATATACATATATATATATATATATATATATATATATATATATATATATATATATATATATATATATATATATATATATATATATATATATATATATATATATATATATATATATGTATATATATATCCACTACAAGAACTAATAAAACCATATATGCATATATTGAACTTATGTATTTAAAGCACACATAACATTCATTGTATTTTGTTTATAGTTTACTGCAATAATCTATATGTTTTAATCTACTCACTATATATTTGATATACTACTTACTTTATTACATTATAATTACATATACAATACAATAAGATTATAAAATACAAACATAGTAAATATAAACATCGGGCAATTATTTGCTTCAATTTGATTAAATATTTATTATATTTTAATATAAGTTAACCAAAATATAAAACATAGTTCTATATTGGATAACAACTAAACATTTCAATTAACAAAATAAAAAGTAAGTAAATACAGTATAATAAATTTAAATCTAAAGCATGTAAATATTAACATTTGCTGTGTTTGTTGTTTTAGTGTAAAACAATTAAACAAACATATTATTAGATATCGGCAAAACAAATACAAACAGAATGTCTCGTTTTGCCCCGCATCATATTGGCATCGAATTGTCTAATTTCCAGACTTTTTTATTAAAGAAATAAAATACCAAAGAATGGAAATGATAGAAAAAGGCCTAAAGATTCTAATAAAGAAAAAACTTTAAATATAAAAAGCTTTTCCACTCAGTGAGATCAAAAAAGGCTTGGAAAAAATATAATAACAACACTTAAAAATTTGTAATTTTCGCGAAGCAGAGAGATGAAATGGTTCCCCTTCTACTCGACTTTTTTTTTCAAAGTGACTCATTATATTTTTCTTGACACAAAATAATTTTTGAACACAACTGCACTTTTAAAAATCATGCAAATAACAATTTGTAGGGCTGGCATCATGATAAACGCGAACTGTCTCATATTGCCACGCTGTCTCATTTTGCCCCGCATTACCCTAATTTGATTTTTGCTCACAAAAAAAATATTATGTTGTAAGCAGAAAAAATAGTTAAAATCGCAATTTCCTATTTTCATGAACTCGCAAAAAATATGGTATCTAAAGGTATCAACCAGACTATTATAAAATAACGTGAATTAGAGTATATTTTTAAGAAAGTAAACAATAGGTTGCGATTTTTTTCAACTATGCGAGAATTTTCTATTTGAAGTTTGTACTATCTGAATTATAGCCAATTTTCAACTTTTTGTTTTCCCAAGTGATAATTGATCAAAAATTTACAATGTAGACTTTGTATTCACTAATCAATTAAAAATAATAGTTTACGATTGATAACTGACAATTATTTGGATAATTATTTGCAATAATTAGCTAATTAAAAATTTAATTCAGTTGAAAAATCATTTCTTATAGCCCGAAAAAAAAAATATATTCAAAATTTGTTTGATGTGTTAAAACATGACATTAAAAAACATAAAGATTCGCATTATATGTTTGTTCAGCTGGCATGTTACAACGACAAAATGACATCTGAAGTAGCCACTGCAATAATAATTGACATTAAAAAATCAATTAAGTTCAAAACAGATAAAAAAGCAATCAAGGTTAAAAGGAAAATCATTTGGAAGTCAATAAATTAAGAGTCAAAGTAAATACAATTCAAGATATACAAGCACGTATGAATTACACCGCGGAAAGCCTTGTAAAAATGATGCAAAAAGAAGTAATATACTACTCGGATATCAGTAACAAAATAAGTGAAAATATTTTGCTATTAACCATTTTGGGCATGTATGGATCTTCTGGACAAGCTTTGTACAACCACGCGTTTTCCAATTCTGTTTACAGTCAAGATTCATGCTTGCAATTGTAACGACACCTTTAAGGCTCAGTGTGTCAAATAAGGAAAAGGATTTTTCGTAAACCAATTTGTAACAACTTGATGCCTTATAGCGTAAAATTTTGTAGGCCAATTGAACTTCATTTGATCAAAGAAACTGCCGTAGTCGTTTTAGACAAACAGCGTCAAACAGAAAATTTTGGATTTGTATCCAGTAAACACTGAATTGGTTAATGAAAAGTTGATTATCATTGATTTGAACTTTATTTTTTGCATGATTGACAGAGCAGTTTTAGCAATTGTAACAAACATTGTAAAGATAATGCTGTTGTACTTGCGAAGCTACTCTAACTGCAATGGCGTGTTTACAGAACTTTTTTAAGTGAATTTACAGAAAAAAAGGTACACTTATCTATGGGATAACTTCATTACACGCTTGGATAAGTTTTCTAGAGTGTCTTTTACATAATTAATACCGAATCGAATTTAAAAAATGGAGAAAGCAAAAAATTTAAGACAACAAATGGCAACAAAAAGAAGTTAATCTAAAAATTAATGTTCAAAAGGAAGCATCTCAGAGTTGATTTCCCTGCTGTAAGTGCAACCGGAAATGTTTGCCGAAAAGCATTCTTGGACCCAAAAGAACTAAGCAAAGTATTAGAGATAATACTTTGCTTAGTTAATGAGATAGTTATAAAAATGTTCATAAATGTCACCGTTGCGATAAGTTGTCTGCAAATATTGAATTCAGTGAGTTTTACTGCAAAACATCGTCAAGACTTAGATTTGTATGATTAAAAAAAAACACCGGCAACACATTTCAAAGTTCTTCCACATGGATCAGAAATAATATTTAACTCACAAGTTTCCTTGGCAGTTTTAGTCGAGGAAGCATATGAATGCTAAAAACAAATACTTTAGACGACATTGTGAACTACATGCTCGTAAATGTTCGAGACAATAAATTGTTTATTTAGAAGATAAAATAATAAGCAATTTGGAAGCTACTAACGAAGATTATTTGGAAGATAAAAGCATTGACGTGTAAAATAAATGTAGCAATATTAAAAGCAATTATAAAAAATTAATACTTTAGCAGAATATTTTTCAAAGTAAGTTTTCCTTTGCATTTCGAATGCAAATTCAAAAGGTATTTTTAAATAATTTCTTATCTTTTTAAAATTAAGCTAAAACAAGCTTGAAACCTTTCATAGAATTACTTGTGTTCACTAGAATTCTAAGTGTTTTCAAGTATTTATGGCCTGTTACACATTTTCTTAATTAGGTCTGTGAAGGTTATGGGTTATTTTTACAAGTAATCTTCTCCAACAAAATAATATCATTAATAATAAATAATATAATCAAACGTGGCTAGTAGTTCGGAGTCCTCCTTTAAAATAAACCAGTCATTAGGGCCAAAGAAATTTTAAAAAACTTTCTTTTATTAAGAATTACTAAAAAAAAAAAATCAGAAATTTGTACATTTATATATAAACTCTTAAAACTGGGTCAAATCATAGCGCCGTCCAGGTGTTTGAACTAAATAAGTTATTAAATTATTTGTTAATAGGGCAAAAAGAAAAAAAAGGAAAAGAAAAGTTATTTATTTCTTTAAAACTATTGGCCGCCGTTTGTATGAACTTACGATATAGTGGCTTAGTGCGACAATGGATAAAAAAACTGATAGATCTTGCAATATGTTAAAATATGCTTTTATACGAATTTCTCTCATTTTAGATTGCAATAAAAATATTTATCCTGAACATTTTTGATATAAGGGCAGTAAAAATGGTGCAGCTTTCCTTTACTCGTACTTCTTGTACTTCCTCTGGTTTCTCGTACGTCTGGTTATGTCAGGGGACAAGAGACACGAAAGCCTCATGCAAAATTTGTTTTGGTAACTTATACATTAACAATTTTTAGGTTAGAGGAACGTGTTAACCGTTCCATCTTTTTATTTAGAGTGTTTTAAATTTTTACCGCCCCGTAATCATCAGCTCTCGAGTAGCCCGCCTATATTTCTCGTAGTCCTCCTATATTTCTCGTAGCGCTCCTATATTTGCTTGTGATCTGGAATAAAATAACAACTTTTCTTTGTATATAAAGTGTGTAAGTTTAATAAAATAATTTTATATATATATATATATATATATATATATATATATATATATATATATATATATATATATATATATATATATACAGCGCTCAAAGTGAGGCGGGATGAGGCGGGATGCCATCCCGTCACCTTTTTATAAAGTATAAACCATCCCGCCACCTATTTCATAAATCTCTTTATATAACAATGATGAGGTGGGATGGTATTTTTAATTTACCGAATACCACCCCGTAACCTTTTTTTCTCCACTTTGAGCACTGTATATATACATATATATATATATATATATATATATATATATATATATATATATATATATATATATATATATATATATATATATATATATATATATATATATATATATATATATATATATATATATATATATGCGCGCACGTTTAAGCAGTGACCAACGCTATGACAGCGTTATTACAACAATATTTCTTTAAATAATAAATAAAAATGCAATATATGTTATGCTTTCTAAAGAATAAATATATGTATTATATTTAATAATTCGTAAAAAATTTTAATTAAAATTATTCAAGACATACCAACAGCACTATAAACATGTCTATGGAGCAGTAAAAATACCAACGCCATTCTTATCTAAAAAATTGTTAAAATATATACTGGAATAATTAAAATATAATTGTAAATACTAATGTATTGTGGAGTGACAAAGTTTTTGCTAAATGTTTAGCGCTAGCTGTGAAACAGGGTTGTTACAACCCTATTAAAAAAATTATTTGGTAATATTTGTTACATATACTACTATTTATAAAGACACACACACACTCACACACGCACACGCACACGCACACACACACACACACACACACACACACAAGCACACAAACAAACATAAAGATTTGCTCACCATAACACAATTTACACACACATATACTATACATAAAGTTTACATTCTATTTTTGATTAAAAAAGACTGGATGTACTACAAAGAAATCATACAACTATTTACTGAAGATAAAACCTAATAAAAAACAAGAGACATTAAGGTTCCCTAATCATAAAAGTTCAACTCTCTTAAATCCTGAAACTGATGCTGGTGGTTCAACGGGTAAATTAAATTTTAATTCAACAAAGTTCGATTTATAAGTAAAATTGCTATTTTTTACAAATATAGTTTAAATAATAATTATATAATTATAAATTGGTTTTTCATTGGTATTTAGAATTTTTAAAAGTTTAGTACCATATGGTATCATTTAGTTAATCAATTTTGTTGATTATCCATCAAACAGTGAGGAGACCAAAATATTGTAAAAGACCCTACAGCCAAAAACAAGTTCCATGCCTATGGAACAATTCTCCACCCATTTTACAAATGACTTACACTTGTACAACTTAAAAGTGCAAATTATAGGTAATTCTTAAGCCAAGAAAATGATTTTTGACTTGAATCAATAAACTATTGAAGATTTTGGTAAAAAGAACATCATTTGAGTAAAAATTAAGGTTTTGAAATTTAATTTTAAAATTCAAGTTTTGTGCGCAAAAATTTGATAAAGTTAGCTTTTACAAAAAACTTTTTTATTTATAATATAAGCATTTGTTTTTATTATTAAATCATGTTTCTTCAGCACTAAAATGAGCATTTCTCAGTTAAGCCAGCCTACCCAATTAATGTTTAAGTCACCTTTTAGTCCTGTGCCGTTGGAAATGAATAAGTATCTCCAGTCGATGCTTTGGTTTATTTATCAAGTATCATCTGCTAGCTCTGAGCAATTTGTTTTGTTAATTAATTAAGGCTTGTTCTTTTGTTGCACCTCATCAGGAGGTACAACAAAAGAACAAAACTTGATGTGGAAAACGTCCACAAGCGGTCTACAGCAAGGACTGAATTCTTAGTGGCAGGCTTAGTCAAATATCATTTTAGCAAGGGAACGGGTAAACGAAAGAGAAACAAGTTGAATTTCAGATACCAAGTTCCATCACAGGCTGACTTTTCTTCAAGCTGACAAGATGGAATATTTTCAAGCATCAGTGCTGGATCCTATTCAAGCGTAGTAGATAACCTAGTCAACCAAAAATGAATTGAGATCTATTTATTTTAGTATGCATAAATAAAAAAGAATAAACTATTACTTTTTAAAATTTATCTGTTAACTAATTTGATAAAAGTTGAAATGACATTTTTAGATAAATAAGTTTGGTTTTTGAGTGATAAAAATAAAGTGATAGTTTGAAAAAATCTTGAAGTAATATTGAATGTTGTAATTGAGTTTTTGCCGCTTCTTCATTAAGCTTCCAGTTATGGTTATTGTTTTCCTTCAGCATCGTGGTTGACCATACAAAATTGTGCCATTACAAAATTAAAAAATTTTTCAAGTGGTTAGGGTAATAGTTTTGCAGTTTAACGTAAATGCTATCAAAATTAATATTAGTCAATTAATTTTCAGTGCAAAAAAAACTTTATAAGGTGCCACTTTCAAGTTTCAAAATAACTGATATTACAATTCTCTTTTCTAATAATGTTATCAAATGCTACTTTCTACCACAGTTTTTCTCTTTTGTTATTATCCCATAATCAAAAAGTTTGAATTCTTACTATATTTTATATAGCTAAATATTTCTCACATATATAAATAAGATAATAAACTTATGTTATCTATAAGTTTTTATATTTTTTAAATGCTGTTTTGCAGTTAATTGTTGTAATTGTAATATTGTAATACATCGCATATTTTTTAAAATTTTATAAATATGCTAACATTCTTTTTAAAATATGATTACAGTTTAATTTTGCGATTATGATAACAACCTAATAAACACATGATTATGATAACAACCTATTAAACGCATGATCTGTAAATTGCCGAAATTAGAAATTTTAAAAATTTACGTTTTAAATCGTTACTATTACTAATTTATTCAAATAACACAGGTCAACACAAAAACAAAAAAAAACTTTCTGGTGCCGACCAAACAAAATGTTTTTTGTATAGCGTTTCTTTTTTTTACTTCAAATATGCAACTCATTTTTCAACAACACGTCAAGTTGTAAAGATATTTGGGTTCAAATCTTTAGCATTTAGTATAGTATCCCAAATTTTACAGAGAAAGTAAAAAAAAAAAATTAAAAAAAGTTATTCAAAAGTATGTCAACCTGAGTCTCAAAAGAAGCGTACTTTCATAAAGTTTTTTAAAATAATTTTTTCTTGTAATATAAAGCAATACTCTTTATAATATTGCTAAGAAACATTTTGTTAAAACTGTTTTATGAGCCTTAAGCAATTTTTTTTTTTTTTTAACAATATTTTTTTGTTTTTAAATTTTAAATAATAATATTATTGTTTTCTAAAATCTCTGAAAATATGCTTTTTTTGACATACTAATGAATAACGGTTTTTAGGATGAAATCCCTAATATTTGAAAATATTAGGAATTTTATTCCAAATGCTAAATATTTAAATCCAAATTGTAATGATATTGGGTTGAATCACTTTTTCTTTTAACTAACCATTGTTTCCAGATACATAATTAATCTTTTTTCATATTTCTTTAATTCTAACTTTTTTTTATTAATTTTTTTTTATTTTTTTTTTTCAATTTAAAAGCATAAAAAACTTTTTTTATGTTCGTAAAAACCTCATATTATTCAATTTATTGTCTCAACATATACAAGTTTTTTTTACTATTGGCGCTACGAATTCAAAACGTAAAAAGAATCACAGACGAATTCAAAATGTAAAATGAATCACAGACGAATTTAAAACGTCAAAAGAATCATAGACAATAAAATATTTAGGAACTGATAGAATTATAGATACACTTCTGAATTCCTTTTCAATGTTTAATTAACATGGAATGGTATTTATGACAAATATGAACGCCTGCATCTATGAAGTTACAAATTAAACTTTGAGTTAGCGTGACATTAGACGACAACATTTTTAATACATAATAAATAAAGGTTGAGTATTGCGTGTTTGACCGCTATAGAACCTTTTAAAGAAAAATTTATTTGTAAAGCTAATAAGAATAAGCATTATATATATATAAGCATAAGAAGCATTGAAAATTTACAATTTTGTTGCTCTGATGTTGAAACCTACTCTTACAGTGACTAGTAAACTATTTATGGTATTCGTAGCTTATTCCATAATATTTTTTATATTTCATAATTTTCCATAACATAAAATCGTTTTTAAAGTAAAATGAACATAAAAGGCATTTTGTTTATTTTTGTTTGATTTTTAAAGAAATTTGAGTGTATGTGTGTGTTTGTGTGTGTTTGTAATTTGAAAAGATTCTACGCTTTTAAATCATATGCATCTATATCACAATATAACAACACAATAAGAATTAAAATCATACCGTAAAAAAGTTATATTTAAAAAACAGGTTCATGTTAGTACGCTCTTCATATACTTTAAACTGTGAATTTTAATGTTATAATTAAAAAAATAGTTTTATATTTGTGACGAATTTTAATGTCAGACGTAGCCGTATTTTTAATTCAATCGTCATTACATTGTTATATGACGTAACTATGAACACGCAAACCGTTCAAAATGTTACAAAAAAAATTTAATGTTATGCTTTGCTTGTTGTTATAAATTTTTATTTTTGCTAATTTATTTACTAGAGGTGGGCTGATTCCGTTTTCTATTCCACCAAATATCAGGGAATAGAAATAATTGCGATTCTCTTTTTTTTCAGGAAATTTTATGAATTTTAACTCTTTTAAAAATCCTATTTTTGCGCTTTAAAAAACTGACTTCTTTTATAAATCCATCTTAACCATTCTGTAATGATAAATATATATACATTTTACCGCAGTGACCAAAAATATTGTTTCTTTAAGGCTTTATCTTATGTTTATTTTATGTTAAAACTTTAACTTTCACAGCTACTTAACTTTAACATTTAACTTTAATGTTGAAGTTCAGCAACGTTGATCAAAAACCTTAACATAAGTATACAGTGTACTTATTGTTAAAAGTCGTGTAAAATAAAAGCATAAAAATAGATAACTAACAGTCACGAAATTATTTAATATTTTTATATAATAAAGATATACATTAGAACAAACGAAAAAGATGGAAACAACCGACATATAAATATATATATATATATATATATATATATATATATATATATATATATATATATATATATATATATATATATATATATATATATATATATATATATATATATATATATATACCAGATAGTAAACACCGGATACCTAGTCCATTAAAAAATTTAGAAAACACTTTTTTGCTGTATTTCATTATAATTTCTTTTATTGTTATTTGTTTGTGACAAATGAAAAACGTAATCAGCGTTCAAAATAATGAAAAAGTAGATGATCAAAAAAAAAATTTTGAATGATTAAAAACTTCATTTTAACAGAATTTAGATTTTTTAAAACGGCTAAAAAACAATTAAAAAACCCAAAAACTATGCAATATTTCTTTTTAGCAGCCGTGGCGCAGTGGTAGATTGCACACCTCAGAAACAAGAGGGAGCGCGTCTGCTCTCGTTTCTGAGGGGGCACACCCTCCCCCTACTTTTTTTGGGCGAACATTCTTTCTTTTTTTTAAATACTATAATAACTTTTAAAAGAAATTGAAGAGTTTTTTTTGAGATGAGGTAGTGTCCCCTACACTTTCAAAACCGTGTCGTCGACCCTGCGAAAACCATTGATTTCTGGACCGACTTCTCAAACTTCATGGGAAAAAAATTCAGTTAAAAATTGTCTATGTTGGTTAAAAGGTCGTTGGTTTAATCGTTTATTAATTGTAAACAATCATTTAGCAATAAAGTTACTTAAAAACGACCAACGCAAAGTATTAAACTGTAATTTAGATAAAATTGCAAAAAATGTATCTTTCTTTCGCGTTATAAGCAATAAATAAAAATAAATGATACTAACTATGCAATATGCAACTTTTGCAAAATTATCATAATCCCAGGGCTGAAATGATATGCACTGATTACCAACCTGTTAGTTACTTTAATTTTTGAATCCAAAGTATACTTCACTTTTTGAAGCCAAGGCCGAAAATACTTCTCGACTAATAAAATACACAATATTTATGAGAAGGTAACAGATAAAATTTGTTTGTTGGCAAAGAGAACTAATAATGTTAGTATATCTGCGGGCATCAGACTACATCCCAACCGGAAATTTTTGCATTGCGCCATTCCTTACAACAGGCAAAATACTGCGCCAGTATTGGCTTACCAATAGTTGGCCGGCCAGTGCTGGCGAAGTACTGATTAAAATGTAAGACATTACTGCGCCAGTGCTGAAAAATAGCACTGGACTAATACCTTAATCCAGCGTTGGCACAATACGGATTTCCGAGCCTCGCGAAAAGAATGTGCCAGAATTCAAGCACATGTTTCTTTTACGATAATTAATTATCGTAAACAGTATAATTCACCTTCACCATTCACTTTGAAAAATGCAGCAAATTCTTATTAAAAACTATTATTAAATGTTCTGTTAAAAACAGGCCTATATTACTGGGTTTTTTCATCTTTGTCTTGGTAAATTTTGATTATCAGTCCGTATGTTGTTTAAAATTTCATAAATTATAAAACAAATTTTGCTATTATCACTTTTCTTTAATTTGCTGTTACTAAAGCTTTAGTAACAGTAAATTAAAGAAAAGTGATAATAGCAAAATTTGTTTTATAATTTATAAAATTTTAAATAACATACAGAGACAAATTATTCTGTAAATACCCATCTGAAAACGAGTATCTTGTACTAGAAAATATGAGTAAAATGTCATTTATACCAGGAGTTTTGTGGAAAGGTTTCGAAATTATTTTAATTAAAAAGTATGTAATGAAACTCTTTATGTAATCAATTTTAAATGTATTATAACTTTAATATTGTCATATATAAAGTTATTTATTTACATTATCGAAAGCTATGAACAAGGATTGCGACGCATGATTAGTGCATGCTCTGAGTTTGTAGTTCAGAGCAGTAATTTTGAAGATTTGAACAGTTCAGAAGAAGAATCTGCTCCTGTTAAATTAAGCAGCTCTAAGATTAAAGCATCTTTAAAAGATATCTCTTCATTTAAAGGTATGACTTTAAGTTTATATAAGTTATTTTTTTTCAAAAAAAAATTAAAACATAAAAAATCAAAAGATTTATTTAACCTTATTACTGTTTTGCTGGCTTTTTTAATGATATCTATATCTGATCTGTTTTAGAGCATAATGAATCCATTGTTTCTTTTAAAGTAAAGAAAAGGGATCGTCATGTCGTGATGAACAATCTAATGATTCTTCGTTCTCATCTCCTAAAATAAAGAAAATATTGACCTCTAAATGTAACCCAGCAAAACAAAACCGTATGTTTTCTTTAATCGAAAAAAAAATCAGTATCATTAAAAATAACCATTATTGTGTTAAAGCAATTTTAATTATTCAATGAGTTTATTATTTTTCGAAATGATAAAGAATTCCAGTATATCACATGAAAACTCCAGGAAAAATTTAAGCGAAGATGAAATAAATAAAAAACATAATGCAATATATTTCTTTGTTTACATATAATTGTTATTTTAATATTTTTTAATGAAACCATTTCTAGATATCTATATCTTGTGTGTTTTAGATCTTAGTATTGAAAGCAGTGGAGATAGTGATATTTCAAAAGAGTCTTTGAAGTAAAGAAAAAGCGATCGTCGTGTCGTGATGAAGAATCTAATGATTCCTTGTCCTCATCTCCGAAAATAAAGAAAATATTGATCTCTAAATGTAAACCAGTGAAACTAAACCGTATGCTTTCTTTAATCAAAAAATAAAATCATAATTAAAAATAACTCATTGTTAAACACAAAAAAAAAATGTGTTTAAGGAATTTTTATTATTCAAAAAGTTTATTATTTTCAGAAATGATAAAGAACTCCAGTATATCACATGAAAATTTCCATTCATTTCCAGAATTTTGATCATTGCTTTCTCAGTAAAATTCTGACAATATTTTTTTAGATGTGATACTAAATCCAATTTATAAGTATTGTCCTACATGTGGCTGTGCATATTGTCAGAAATGTTTTTACCTATAATTCTTAATTCATTGTTAATAATTAATTTAACTTTTCACTTTATTAAGAAAATGACATTATGGAAGCTTTATGTTTAAACCACACCAGTGTCGAAATGGAATTTATTATAACATTTATTCATTTATAACATTAAAAAAAAATGACAATAATAATGAAATAATAATTAACGATTTATTCATTTAAAATGAATAGTGGTTTTTCTTTACTAATAAGAAAATTTATGTTTTCATGACTAAAGCTTATGGTCATGCATCGAAAGCTAATCTGGAATCTGCTAGGAGAAGTATCGAATATCATATTAGAGAGGAAGCGAAAATCACAAGAACATTGTTTAGTCTTCACAATTACACAGTTGATATTCAAAAAATAATGACCGAACAGACAGTTAACGAATTACCATTTAACCATGTAGAAAGCTTCCTTGATTTTGATAATAAATTGAAGACTAATTTAGTAATGATGCAAAAACTGGTAAATAGTTTAATACTGATTCAAAAAATGCTAGAAATATTAGTGTTAAGTCTGCTACGAAATATTGTATTATTAAAAATTATTTTTGTTATAATTAATACTATATTTATTTATTTTGTATATAAATTTTATATATAGATTAAAATTTTCTTTCTTTTAGAAATGCTTTATCATGTTAAATGTGAAAAGTACATTAAACTTTCGGAAAATTTTTCTTTTTTAATTCCTAAGATTATTTTACCAAATATTCAAGTGCTATTCAGTGCTTTTGGGCGAGAATCAAACGGTGTAAAAAAGTTAAATTTCTCTGGTACAGAAACTTACAAATATTTGCTAGGTATATTGTCTTATTTTTAACTTAAGCAAACACGAATAAAATATTATTTATATGTAATCTCTTTTATATGTAATATGTAATTAAATATGTATGTAATTAAAATACAAATGTAATTACATATGTAATATGTAATTACATATGTAATATGTAGATTAATCTACATATTACATAATTTATATGAAGTATTTAATTTCTTACTAAACCCCTAAATACACAGTTTAGATCTTTATTTTAGAAGTAGTTACAATGAAATTTCCTGACGAAAATGAAAAAGAAATTTCAAGTCAAATAAGTCGCTGGTTTTCAGGTGCAAAGGATAGAGATGGTGGAAAGAGATACCGATTATTAAAATAAAAAAAGTCGTAAAGAGCGAAAGGATATCGAAAATGAAGACGAAATTCTATAATTTTATCTGTTTATAATAATACAAAAAAAAATTACTTAAAAAGTATAAATAATATAATTTTTGTAATAAAAGATTGTCTTTTAAAGTTTATACTACAGTGTCAATTGTGTGTGTGTGTCTGTGTTTGTGTCTGTGTGTATTATGATTTTCAGACTCTGATAACAGGTTTGGCGCGACAACGCCAAAACCTGATAGTGAGCTGATAGATATGATGCTAATAGAGCGCGACAGCGCTCAATTTTTCAAGGAAGTACTATTTTAATATCAGCTGCTAACATTGGTTAAGAACTATAGTTCTTACTGGCACAGTACTGCGCCTGTTGTGAATTTTCGATTAGGCAGTAATATGCCATTACCAGATGCCAGCAATGGTTAAGTACTGGACATCCAGTACTGGCGAAGCGTTATCATCCCAGATAAATGCCAATGCCGAACCAGTACTGGCTGCCAGTATTGCGCCAGTATTAGACAGTACTGGCGCAGTACTGCGCCTGTTGTGAATTTTCGCTTGGGATGAGCCTAACAGCGCACTTTCTCACAGTAGATATAAAAGAAATTAAATTGGTCTTTACGAGGTACCTTATCAATTCGAGTCCCAAAATTCAGCTGAACTTACAAAATTTATGAATGGATGGCTTAAGCGTTGGGGACTACTTGAGAAACTTAATGTAATAGTAAGAAATAATGGCAGAAGTATTGTTACTGCTATGAGATTAGAGGTTTTAGTAAATAATTTTTTTAAATAAATTACTAAAAGAAATTTTATATATGATTTTTAAATGAAAAATAATATATAAAAAATATATATTTTTTAATGGACAAACATGCGCAATCAAAACTTATTTTGCTTTTACAGTAGTAAAAATCTGCATCAATATAAACATAGATATACATCAATATAAACATAAAATAAACAAGGAAAAAAAATGATACATATTCTTGAAGTTATACAAGTAACAAACATAAAATATATTCACAAAAAAACATTTCTTTCACATAGAACAAATTCTAATATAATTCATTCATAAATCTCTTTTTAAAAATGACTTTCAGAAGCAATGTTTACTATTGAAGTCAACATTGCAACTTCTGCAATGATGATTGGGTCGTTTGTACCTTTGCCAATGTATATGAAAGTTGCGCTAGCGTTTAATATCTGTTGGATGCTTTTATTAACTGTTCTGAGTAAAGCCCAAGAGCTTGGTCACGTCTATGGATGAAATTTTTCACATAAAAAAAATACTGCATGGATTGCTACAGGCACATTTTGCAATGCCATGTTATAGGCACATTTTGCAATACCAGAAAAGACACTCTCAATTATTTGTAGGTAGTTTGTATCAAGGTTGCATTTAAAACAGCCAGACACTACTGCATTGAACTTTTGAAAAGTATCAATGAATAGCTGCATAGCGTGAGTGTTTCTCAGCAATCGATTAAAGAATATTAATATTGTGTAGCGCTTTCTAAACTCATTTCCTTGTTTGTTTACTGTGTATTGTCTCAGTAAAAAGAGATGCTTGAGGAAAAACTTGAAATAGGATTAATAACTCCAATTAGGAGATGCAAATTCATGGGAGGAAGGAACTTCCTCCCATGAAATTGCATCTCCTAATTGGAAATGCAAATTCATGAGAAGAAGTTCAAAATAAAACCAAAGTATATCCAGGTAGTTTAAATATTAGCGAATAAACAATATTTTTATAGCCACAAGCTTTTCTGGTATATGAACCTGTTGATTTAAAGAGTGATTTTTTTCCAGAGATTCAAAAATTATAAAATTCACTTAATTTACAAGTTTTTTTGAATCAGATTTATATAAGGTGCAGGGATGTGCACTTGAATGTGCTTGAAGCCCACAAATATTATTCAAATATTTTAGATCCTAGGACAGGACATTCCCGATCTTTTAAATTAATCAACTCAAATACTTGCAAAATGTTAGTATAACTTTTATAAAGCTTCTCAGAGACAGTTATAATTATTTGTTTGACACCAGTATCTTTAAAAATTTTGCTTGTGAAAGTTTTGCTGGGAGAAAGCTAGGTTTATGATTTAAATCAATAATATAGGAACTTATCTTCTCCATCAATTCCAATCTTTACAACGTGAATTTTCGAACTAAAAAACGTGGCTATAATTTCATTTTAAAGCTTATAAAAGTCCTTGCAATATAATGACAGTCCTTCTTGAGTTGATGAACTTATTAAATGAAGTACAAGCTCCTTGCTGAATTCATCAAATTTTATGGCGTAATTTTTATCAACAATATGTTGTGAGGTTGACTGATTAACAGTAGCTGCTAACCTTTTAATGCCATTCTATGAAAGCCCTATTTTTGCCTGAAGTTGAGCGAGGTCTTTTACACTTATTGATGAATTTAAATAAATAAGTTGTTTAGCTGATGACGAACCTATAAGAAAATAAAATCTCTTTTTTTTACTGTTGAAGGTGTTCTAGCTGCGGAACTTTGTACGAATTCAATTTTTATTTGACAATTTTTTCTCAGTTTTCCAATTAAACAGATCAAGTGAGAAAGATCAAATAAAAATCAAATAAACAGATCAAGATCATACTGAGAGCCTCGAGTTTCCGGTTGAAATTTTATAGTCTCAAACTTATTCAATGATGGGAGTGTGATGTTCTCTCCACTTTCTTTCTCAAACAAGAGCAACATTTTTTACAAATTCCAAGTGAAATTTTTTATCATTATTTTTTATTTTGTTGTTTATATTAATTGCAATTCCCTTTCACAAAAAATAAAAAATAACTACAAATACATAAATAATAACAGACAGGGGCTCAAAGAAGATATAAATGGCGAAATACAAACCTAATCTTTCCAAAGAGCCTCTACAAATCGTAGAAATAATAGTAAAATATGGTCATTAAACCAAGTAGAAAAATTATATAAAGAAAAGCAAACAGTAAAAAAATATATATATAACATTTAAAAATAAAAAAAGAGAAAAAAAAAGAATTTATATTAAATAAAAGTACAAATACCCTCATAATGAGGGTATTTTGACTAAATATAGGTACGCATATATCGCGTTTTACGTAGCGCAAGAAAAACGTTTTTTAGTGGCATTACTTTTTAGAAATGTATATCAACAAAGATTTTTTTTAATTACACATTATCTAAGTACCTGCCAAATTTCAGAAAAATATATTTAGTCGCAGATACCATAATAAGTGTCGCAATTTTGGTTCCTAAAATCCCTTTTCACGAACTCTGTACCGGGGGAAGGGGCGGTATTAGATTAAGAATTTCGTTTAGACCAAATACATTGTTATTGACTTAATTCCTAATATAATCATATTAATGATATTGAAAATTTTAATATTATTGTATTTAATATTATAAAACATTGTAGTTATTAAATCTAATAAATATCTATTATAAGTAATAGTGCATTAGTTAAATGATTTAGTAATCATTATTATTAAATTAACAATAATAACATTATTATAAATAACTAGCAGTAAGCAACCCGTAATACGCGTTGTTAGTAAATAAAATTAAAAAAAAACCGCGTATAGAATAGGGTTGTTCGCCGAAAAACAAAACTTGCGAAAATTTCGCATTTTTATCTACCGTAATAGAATTGTTATTACGGAAGTTGCACATGCGAAAATGCACATTCCGTAACGCGCTATACGAAAATATAAATAAATAAAATTCCGTAATAAAGCATTGCGAAAGAAAACTTGCGAAACAAATCATTTCGTAAGAATACTTTCGAAATAGTTCCTTACGGAAAAAGCATTCCGGATTGTGTAGTTGCGAAAAAGACGCAAAAGATTTTATGTTACGATATATTTAAGATATTAACTGTTAACAGTTTAAATAATAAGTAATAAAATTATAAAAAAATGTTGTCAAATGATTCTTCAAATGTTTATACAAATATACCTAATATATATATATATATATATATATATATATATATATATATATATATATATATATATATATATATATATATATATATATATATATATATACATTAACGGGATTTTACTGTATATATATGTATATATATATATATATATATATATATATTTATATATATATATATTCATATATATATATATATATATATATATATATATATATATATATATATATATATATATATATATATATATATATATATATATATATATATATATATACATTAACGGGATTTTACTGTATATATATGTATATATATATATATATATATATATATATATATATATATATATATATATATATATATATATAAATATATATACTTATATATACAGTAAAATCCCGTTAAGTTGGACTCTCAATGAATAGATAAACAGTATGCCTTTCTTTTTAAAAAGTATAAAGAGGATGTGTGATAAACAATTAAATACTTTATTATAAAGAACGAGAGATCTCTCTAAAGGTAAATGATATCAGAAAGAGTAAAAAGAGAAGAAATATATGTGAAACAGCGGGATGTGAACCTGGGTCTACGCGGCCAAATGTCTTAACTGAATGAGCTATACGTTCATTCAACTAAGAGAATAGTAATATTTATTTAATATATAATTTGAAACTATATAAAACAGAACTTACAGAAAGAGATACGTATGCAAATAGGATTCTATATATCAGGAAAATGAATAGTAATGTGAACCTTTAGATGCTTATAATTAATATCTGGACTCAAAAACTAGTTACTTTTAATGGAACACAATAGGCTGTAGGAGCCTCAGGAAAATTATATTCAAAAATGGTTATATTAGACTCAGAGTTAGCTACAAATTATTACAAAGTATTTAGGACAGATGTCTAGTACAAAAAGCAAAAGATTTAAAGCAAAATGAATTATATTATTTGAAAAAATTGTTTTACGTACATTTCATCATAATTTAAGTAGAACTTAGTAAAGCAAGGGAAACGTGTTGAATTAAGCACAATGAACTCAATCTTAAAAGAATAACTAACAGAAGAGAGGTTGTCACTATTGTGAAGGCGACGAAAGATCTGTAATA